GAGCCGTGGTCAATCGGGATCACCCCGTACTGAATGCACCCATTGTAAAGCCAGCGGCACACGATGCTTATTTTCCTGCTGAATTGCTAGCTAGATTAGAATTTTGCCACCGTATTGGCTGTGCTGCTATCAATGCAATCATCTCGAGTATATAACAATTGCCCACGATCCAATTGCGCACAAGCCAATCACAGCGCTAAAAAAAAAATAACCTTAAACTCCCTACGCAGAAGTCGCTGTGATTGGCAGTGGGCAATTGTTACAGCGCGCAATTTCGCCGCTCCCCAGCATCGTAGCCAATACAGTAGCAAGATTTTAATCCAGCTAGCAATCTTTTTCTCAGGAAAACAAGCTTTGTCTGTCGCAGGCTCACGGTCCTGCACACAATAGAAGGAATAAGGAATTAGGAATAAAGAATAAAGCCAGGAGCACATAGAAAAACCTAAGGCCGTAACCCCGGATCTACAATAGGGTTTTAAGCCTTAAGCCATAAGAAATGGGCGAATCACAGTCGCTTATTCTTCTCGGATTCGACTGTAATTGGTCAGTTTCTTACGGCATAAGGCATAAAACACCTATTGTAGATCCGGACTAAGGCATAATCAGTAAGGAAATCGTAATATTGGATTCGCTACTGGTCTTACGGTCTCTACTGTGATTGGCCAATTTACTTATAGCGTTTTCGATTGGGGTGCACTGGCTGCACTCAGTGTCAAGAGCGTGTTCGATTGGCAGTACCAATGCGCACTTGGCTAGTGTCACGTGTTCATTTGATCGCGCGACACTCGCGTAGTGCGCACTCAGTGCGCACTAAGTGGCACGAGATATTTTGACGGTGCCAGTTCAGTGCACGTTTTATCACAGTTAAGGATAAACATAGGGACAAGCAAATCTGCACAGTTGAATTGAAAACGGGGTCTTGTCCCTCTTAATATCTTTTACTGTGGTTTTGTAACATTTTGTTGAACATTGCTTCAAAATGAACAAAAATGAGTTTCAGCTTTTGCACTGAAAATCTTGGCATATTCTTTTGAACTTGCACTATTCAGTGCAACCCATGGAACTCGTCCAGTGTTGGTGTGAACTGAGTGCGCACTGGTGCGCACTAACTTTTGCCCAATCGAAAACGCTATTACTGCTTGCGTGCTACGGCCTTACGTTCTTGTATGTGTCATGGGCTTAAACGATTTCGACCCATGACCGTGTATCCCGATGTATCCGGTTTCTGATAGGTTAGGGACTCCGCACAATAAAGGCTTAAACACAATAAGCACAGACAATAAGCACAGGCAACAGGGAATAATGAGCCGTCCAATCAGAGCTCTGGGATATAATATCGACTTACACATCAGAGCTCTGATTGGATGGCTCATTATTTCCTGTTGCCTGTGCTATTGTATTTAAGCCTTAAAAGGAACAGGGAACAGAGAATAAGGGGCTCTGCACAATAAAAGGAACAGAGAACAGAGATTAAGAATTTCAACCTATCAGAAATCATGTATTGTGGAATACACAGTTTCTGACAGGTTGAAATTCTTATTCTTTGTTCTCTATTCCTTGTTCCTTTTATTGTGCGGAGCCCCTTAAAATCGTTTATTCTTTATTTCTAAGGGCCCAAACACAAGCTTTTGCATAACGCATAACACATAGTGCATAATGGAATCAACCAATCGTAATTCTTCTTTTCCATGGAATGAGAGGAAAGGAAAGCTTCTGATTAGTTGATTCGCTTATGCACTATGCGTTATGCGTTATGCAAAAGCTTGTGTCTGG